ATTAAACTCTTATCCAAATTAGGTAAATCTATTCACAACTAGTTAAAGAGGTTGGTAAAGATCGACCAGGGGAATTTCGTTCCCGAAACTCGAGCTGAACTGGCAGAACTGAACGGAATCAACCAATAGCATTGAACCACTAGTGAACCACTACCGGTTTTTCTCTAAATTCAAAAGATTACAGCTAAAGTTGTGAAAGATATTAACCGATGCTGAATTATCCGTGCGATGAAGCCCTATTAAATGTGGTAGAAATGAAATCCTCATATCCTCAACCTTGATCCTTTGTAGGTTTCACTGGAATCGGCCAACGTGTAAGCGAGAAATCTGCTGTGAAAGGTGGTCTTGACGGGGAGGTCGGCAGTCAGTTTAGTCGTTTTTACGTAATTTCTCTTCTAAAACATTTGGAATGTTAAAATAAAGTCAAAAGCGGCACACACGGTAACATGGCGATTCTTTAGGTACCCACTTTTATGGGTCTAAGGTTTACCGTTATCGCGGAGTTTGAGTGACTTTCTCAGGACCCTGGATTCTTGAAATTCAAATTTCCCGGCAAAGTAAAAAAGTAAAATTTTCCTTGTTTTGGGTCATTAAGTGCTTATAACTTTTTGAAAACTCAATGGATCTTATTGAAACTCTTCCACTTAGTAGTCCTAATTGAGATGCGTCCGTAGACACCAAGATCGTAGGAATCCGAGCCGTCGTTTGGGCTGCAGTCGAGTTCCAACCGAATCAATTTTCAAGTTAAGGGAGTTGCCTGTGACTAAGAGTGTCGGCGACCCGTTTGTTATCGGGACTTTAGTAGGACGTCATTTTCCTCGACCGGGGGTGGCTACCGCCACTCTTGATTAATAAATTTTTGAAGATGAAACAGCAAGCGTCCGGTTGGCCAAGCTGGTGCGTTACCGAGGCGGATAAGCAAAAATACATTAGGGATTACAAAGGGAAAGAAAATATAGACCTTGAATATGACAAAATCGTACATAACCCTGGTTGGCGGAGCGTGAGTAAATTGTTTCTTAATAGTTTTTGGGGTCGGTTCGGAATGCGGTTGAACTTCCCCAAAACCGAGTTACTTTCGGATCGTGATGAGATCCTAGAGAGATTTACCAACTTTCCCTCGAGGTAACGAGCTTCTTGCCAATATCGGACGACTTGCTAATGATCAATACTAAGAACATTGCGGAGGCCGTGCGACCGGGCCTGAAGACCAACGTAGTTCTGGCGGCATTCGTCACTACGCATGCCAGGTTAAAATTATACGAATGCCTAGAAAAAACAGATAAACGCGCGATCTACTGGGACACAGATAGTATAGTGGCCTCTTTTAAGCCTAACGACGAGCGTTTACCTCTGGGGGACCATCTGGGGGATCTGACGGACGAACTTGAGGTATATGGAAAAAATTCGTTCATTAAATCTTTTGTTGGTGCCGGTCCAAAAAATTATGCTATGGAGATATGCATAGGTGGTGATCCGACTAAAACAACAACAGTGTGCAAAGTACGAGGCTTCACGCTGAATTATCGAGCGTCGAAAGTGGTCAATTTTGAGACTGTGAGAAGAGCAGTTTTACAGGACCTCGGCCCGATCCCCGTTCACATACCCAATAAAATCGTACGCAAAACAAACTGGCGCATCGTGAGCCGCTCAGAATTTGAGAAATACCGTGTGGTATACACCAAACGTCGTCGTCTTGACAATTGCTGTATGACACTGTCCCTTTCGGTACAAAAAATGCTCTTCTCACAGTCTCCTAGATGTATTTTCTGTAGTCTTTAAGTTTAAGAATGTAATGGCCAATCCGTTGAGGACAAGCCAGGGTAACTTGTAAGTATTTGTAATAAACTATTCGGCACAGTTTTTTTTTTTTTTCGCCGTTGAAAACAGTAATCTACATTCTCTTCATTTTCCTGCCTCAAATCTCCTCGTTTTTTTTAAGTTCAAAAAAAAGAAAGAAAGAAAAAACAGAAAGAAAGAAAAAAACAAGCGGGAAAGCTCTAATACGTGGGTATTAGAGAAGCGCTCAGCGGT